ACATCGACACGACAATAGAGGCCACGCAATACAAGATGGGAGTATAGTCCAGCTGTATGTCAGTCTTAGATGTATTAGCACCTCAGAGAAGCCAACTATAATAGTTGCCCATATCAGTGGTCACGCATCAACAAGCTACCTACCTACTTATGTTATCTACAGCATAGAAGCCTATCTTCGTAGAGAAAGCACAGCTAGAGCGCCTGTGTGAAGTAGACTAAACACATAATCTTAGTATATTGCTATATAAGATCGGGTTAGCTGGCCATTACTACTCATCCATATGAGCATATTGTATTGTATGTACATACATACATATATACATACCTACATAGAAAAATAGAACAAGCCGATATAGCCGTATAATATTGTAAGACCGATTACCTAAGTGTGACTGTATAGCAATTATAATATGGATATATCTAACAACCTTGATATCATGACTACGGTCTCACCTTTACTCCACTTCTTGCTACAAGGCGGAATACTATTGTAGACCCTCGACTAACTATCTCAAATCATTGGGTGGGCCCCAACAGACAAATATATCTAGAACAAGTATTTACGAGCTGCATAGAAATATTATCTTCAACCGTAACCAGAAGAGCTGAAACGCACCACGATTTTTCTTAGTTTCTTTTCCATCATTTCATTCCACCTAATAGCTCAGTCATCAGAGCCAACCAACCACCTAATCCCATCTACATGCCCGGCTCCTTGCTCAGACAACCAGCTCGGAAGTCCACCCCTTACTTGTCCAAAGATCTAGCTAACCTCTTGGAGAGACAAAGAGCTCGTTTCGTTGATAAATACCTACCTAGACATGAACGAACGGAAAATTTTATAAAAGACGAAAGGATAGTACAGTGAGCAAAGAGAAAATAAGTAATTTGAGTCGAAATAGAGCGTAACAGGTGTAGTAGTACTAGTAGTAGTAGTAGTAGTAGTAAAAGGAAGATACAATAAAATTCTAGGAATAAGTCCGGGGTTCGACGAATGAAGCCAGGTATACCATTTACACTCCCTGCGCTATGCACCACCATTCAGATCCCGCCTTACTGCACATATCCGTCCATTTGTACAAAAGTTGGTCCTTCCACCTAGGTCAGAACTTTCAATGTATATCGGGTAACAAGGTCGTCGACATGGTTGACAGTAAAAGAACCTTACCCACCACTCCCAGCAACCAAGGCCCCTTCCCCTAGATGTCCCTTCTAGAAAATCGGCCTTTTTTGTGTTTTCCAGCTCCACTCAAACATTTCCGGTGTAACTTTTTCTTGTCTCTTAAAACAAAAACGTTTCCCCCACAAACACCCTGCTAATCCTTTGGTATCCTCGACTCCCCCTATGCCGCGTCTTCAAAAATTGTGCCCACACCCGTAGGAAGTGCCGTTTTTTACGTCCTGAGAAGTACCGCCAAGGATGACACCGCCCATGATTTACCGTGCACTACAACATTCCAAACACGGCCGAAATCGGTCATAGTGAAATCGAATACCGAACAATCCGCACGAGGGCCGTACGAGCCGAAATACTTTTTTGCGTTTAAGCAGGCGATTTGTTCGAAGGCGCGCCCGCGCCATTCTGACGAGCATCGCCACCGCTGACGGACAAGCCGCCAATACCGGAAGAGAGAAATGCAAACGGATCATTTTCCGACTGAGACGAGTAGAAGTTATTAGATGGCCCGGCCGAGGCGGGACCGTTGCTTGCAGACTGGAAAGCAGCCTCGGCCGCTCGGCTATCAAATGGTCCTGCCGAATGCGAACCCGGAGCAGGTCCGAAATGTGTATTCAAAGACGGGTACGGGGCAGCACCACCACCAATGCCCGATGGCAAGGCATACGTGCTAGGCGGGCCTCCAAAGTGGTGACCATAACCACCAGACGCTCCAAATGGACCGGCAGCTGAGGCAAAAGGACCTGGGCCTGGCGTTCCTGCCATGGAGCCAGAGCCCATGCCGTAGCTAGAGCCACTGTCCATTGGCGAAGGATAACCAGAATCGGCAACTACTGCAGCGCCAGCACGGCTAGCGCCGCATCGAAGACAACAGACGTTCTTAGCAAAGTTGTGGTAACCACAAACTTCATTACCACACTTCCAATCTCCGGCTCGAAAGGGGACAACACCACTACCACCCATACGACCTCCTCCATGGCCCATGTTTCCGTGATGGCCGCCGTGATGCGGCGGAGGACCCATCATAGCCGGCGGGCCGTAACCATAACCGTAGCCCATGTCGCCTTGCGGACCGGCGCTTACTGCTGGGAATGAGCAACGGAAGCAGGCCGTCCGTCTCTGAAAGTTGGAGAAACCACATGAGGGGCATGTCCAGTCGCCAGGGCGGGGTCGGTTCTTGCTGGGGGGGAAAGGCGTCAGGATTTCTGCGGCTCGGTCAAGCACGCGACTAGAAGACGGTGAGACCTCGATAGCCTTCTCGTTCAAAGCGCGACCATTCATGCAGAGGCTCTCGGCGGCCTAAAATGTCTTAGTTAGCGTACAGAAACATGCAGTATAAGTATATACACGTAAGAACACACCTCTTCATGGGACGAAAATACAGCAAAGCCGGTACCTGTGGGCTTGTGCTGCTCCGGGGTACGTAGGGTCCAGAAAGCAATGGGGCGGCCACCAAATTGGGTGAACCAACTCTCAAGCTCCGACTGGGTAGTATCGTGAGGCAAACCAGACATGTGCAGAACCTTACTTCGCTCAGATAGGAATGCACGAACATCAGCACGGGCATCCATAGGACGGGTCAAGACGTCAGGATGTTCTTGAGGTGGTTGAGACTTGCGAATCAGACCGCGCAAAACTCTGGCAAGAGTCACCGCCTCTTCCATGGCACGTCGAGGAGATGCTGGAGCAAGAGCCTGCAGGTGAAAGGGGAGATTATGTTTGATCGGGGCACTAGATTGGACGGGTTCGACCTCGAGGGCAGCACAGATGTTGGAGAGCATCGAAGGCCCAAATGGGAGGGATTCAGGATGGTGCTGTTGCCATCGTTGGTATTCGGTGCGTAAATCGAATGTCCTCGAGTGTTGCAGGTAAGGTGGGAGTACAACGGCTTTGTCGCGAGCTTCGCGAGGAAGCTGGACACGAAGGTCCCAGGCATCGAGAGTGACAAAGACAAAGTCGAGATTTTGAGATGTCAGGTGCTCAGAAGCAAAAGCATCAAAGCGGTTAACTGCATCCCGGAAAGTTCCCGCATTTCGTACATGCTCCCATGTCAGAGTCGTAAGGCTAGCTATAAGCGCAAAAAAACATATAAGTATTAGTCTGATGAAGCTAGAGATGCAACGGGAATGACGATGCACGGAGAAAGGGGGGGGGGGGGGAAGGGGGTAGTCAATCCCGTAGCTACGACTTACTGCATAAGGGTGTAATAGGTGTATTGATAGGTTTCACGAGCACGCTCTCACGATGAATCTAGCATTAGAAGAAATAAGTCAGCACGCAAAAGTTCCCCTTTATAACAATAAACTCGTTGATTTCCACCATCCATATCCCATACCTCTTCAAGCGACTTAGAATCTAGGAGGATCCAGCCAAGCTCAATCACCTCTGCGGAATCCTTCGTCACGTAGACGCCGTGTTCATCACAGGTAGTTGCTACATGGATAACGACGTAGCGGTCGATATGAGGAGGTGGAGTCTGCTGGCTCGACATGTTGGGCAGACTCGATGCCTATGATATAAGACGGCGGTGGCGGTGATGTTGGTGTGTAGTATGTAGTATGTAGTATGCTGATTTATGGTACAGTAATTAGAGTCGGACTTGACGCGGCTCGATGTAGTATTGAATGTTACGACGGAAACCTGTCAAGTTGAACTGAGCAGGTTTTAAGAATTTGGAACCCCGAAAAGTTCGAGAGGATCGAGGGTCATAAATGTGGGATCGCAGAAAGGAGGTCAAAGGCGGTGGCCGAGGTGTCGTAGCAACGAGCGACTGGAGCTCCAGTTTGTTTTTTTTAATGTGGATGATTAATAAGAGGAAAAAAACACAACTAGAAAAGCCTTCAATGCAATGCGCGATAAGGGAGAACCCAGCGTCGAAAAAGTTGTTATGGTTATTCCCTTTTTTCCCCTTCTATCTCGATAGGATTTTGACCTCTACCCAGTTATAAACCAGGCAGCTCCTCGCAATCTCGCAATGCTGCAATGCCCCAATATCGAGAAGAGGGATCGAGGAGAGCGCCGGGGCAAGAAAACAGGAAGAGGAAAAAAAAGAGAAGAGAGAATAAAGGGGCAAGAATGATGTTCTGGAGAGGGATAAGAGAGAGTGAGTCTGTTGTACGTAGAAGGAGGAGAGGGAAAAAAAGAGCACAGAGAATGAGACGAGTCACGACGAACACCTTCCGGGATTGCACAGTTGCGTAGTGGGTTCGGTTGTAGCGAGAGCTGTTGGTTTTGGGCAGTGTGCATAGTTGATCAATCTCCTTATGATTGATTGATTAATTGATTTTTTTTCCCCTTCCTTTCCTTTTGGGTACCCCCTCTTCCCCTAAACTTCCTATTACCTAACTAAGCCAAGTCTCTCCTACCTCTAATTATTTTAGCCCGGACCCCGAAAGGCCTCTAAAAAAAATTAGGACAGGGTCGAAGAGCGTTAAATTGTGGAGTTGCTAACGTGGGTACAAACGCATGTGGGCTATATAAGTACCTGCCTCCTTACATAACGTCGTCATCTGCTTACCCAGGTACATTACACGTAGTATATCTAACACCACTTAAACAAGTCACAAGTCCCACTTTATAGTTACATTATGTACATAACGTATTACTTAATTAAATATGTAAAAATCGAGGTTTTTTTACAACTTAAAAAGTAAATTATAAATTAACTTATAAAAATAACGTTATATAAAATTAAAATATTATAAAATTTATTATTACGTAATATATAAGAAATATATATTTTTAATACGATTATATCATTATTAACATATTTACACTTATAAATATTTAGATGTGCGGGGTTTAAATGATAAATGATGGCTTGGTAAAACGAATTAACGTATGAGGAGCGCGGGCAGCTATCAATGCCTAATGCCATACCACCCCCAGACTACATGCTTTACGTAAGGTACGCTGCTACAGAGCTACGTCATTGGCGTCGTCCCGCATACTGAGACTTGAGACAGTAATTGAAGCGCGAGTACGCCCAGCCGTAATCCCAATAAAATTAATTACATATCACCTACAACTAAGTCGAATGAGTGAACGACCATTACTTTTACCTTAATATAATCGGCTTCTAACTCGCAACCATTTCCTACTTGATCAAAATGGGAGCTGTCTCGGCTATTCTTATCGTCCTCATAACCATCCCTTGTGAGTACCAAGGAGGTCTCGGTGTAGGCACTGGCTACAGGATGGTCTGACCTAACTGCTCTCTAGTCCCTCCGATTGGCGTCTGGGCCGTCGCCGGATGTGGCGCTGATCTGCTTATCAACATCTGCCTCACCGTCCTTGGGTATGCAATAGAGCGAAAGTCTTATTACGCGAAGCGATGCTAGAAATCTAGCTGATATGTTAGAGCAGATACCTTCCAGGTCACATACACGCCTTCTATCTCGAGTATGTCTACTATAACCGTCGCGAACAGGCTAGAGAGGGCCGCTATGCCGCAAGACGAGCTGCCGGTGTGTACAGCGACCGCGTGCAAACCGGCGGCTATGGGTACGGCACGATGGTTCCGCCCGGTACTCACTAAATAGCCAGTGTATGAAGAGGGAACGTCGGTTTAATTCCAGGAGGACGTTTTAGTTTGGAGCACTAGGAGTTAGATGCTTTCGAAAGACACCGGTAGTTGGTACGTAGTAGCAGTACATTCATTGATCGAAATGGTCTCGCAGGTTTGTTGAAGAAAAGTATGTTTATTACACCGAAGTTAGCTAATCATTACCATTCGAGAGAAATCAATTTCGCAATTGCATAGAAAATTCATGAACGAATATAACATTATATAGTTTAAGCCATCCGGAGCCTTACCATTGACATGTAGGTATTATTATGTAGTATTGGTACATGACAGTCGCTAGCAAGGTTGTCATCGGCCAAGGTAGGAGCTATGTAACGCTGAAACCTACCTATATGACATTTCTGTACATGTACATGTAGGTAAATGGGCAATGTGAGTGGATTGGTAAATACCATACGGGTCCGTACTTAGCTAAGCAAAGCCCCTCCTCAAAATATGTAACTTTTACATGTATCCTACCTACCCACCTCTCTACCACTCAAATAGCACCACGACTTTGTGCAGCTCACCCTGGTTCTTCGTCCATCTCCTCTCGAGAAATCAAACCAAGAGTAAAACGACAACATTGAACAAGCTCGTCTCCGGTTCGAACCACATGTCCCGCCTACGCGCCGACGAATCATCCTATTTCTTTAGCTCCGACGCAGGGAATCACATCCATTATCTACGAGAACATCAAGCACTTCCTGTTGGCTGCCACAGCATATCGCCTAATACTACTTGCAATCAGCCCAGTTACTGGCTTGTCTAGTTCGTTTGGCTCGTCTGGCTCGTCTAAGCACTTCAAACCTTCCTCCAGCCTACATATCTCGTATATACACAGAGCCTGCACATTATAGAACATGGCAGATACATCATATCCTTCAACCCACCCGCCTCCTCAGCTTCGTAGTAACTCCCCTCCTCATCCACAGACCAATATCACCACCAATAGCTCTCCGAACGATAACAATTTACCAAGGCGTTCACTACCCTTCGTCTTCCCTCCTCTCTTTCCCAAAATTACTTCATCCACCTTTCTCGTACCAAATACCGCCGAAGGAAGACCAATACCTCTTGACGACTCTACCGCCGCCCATCGTACTACTGCCCTACGCCAGCTGAGCCGCTCCCAACCATCCTCCCGCCAACGGTATTCCAGAGCCAAACCTCCGCCTAGTGCTAAGAGCTCAACGGCAGAAACTTATTCACAGCCCGTCGTAGTGCGTACATATCCAGGAGCATCCTCGTCGTCCTCCTCGACAGCCAAGGGTCCAGTGTCCGTCTCTAGTACCTCGTCTTCACATAATCTATCGTCTCAGCGTATTAAACGAAATAGCACAATAAAGGACAAGATGCGTCGTAAAGGAACCGAAAAAAGACGCGCAATAGTCGAAGCCAAACTACCGCCTCTTGAATCCTTCACCTTTAAAAGTATCATAGCAGATATACAGCAAGACGTTAATGCAGACCTCGACCGGATAGCAGAGATCTGTGCACGTACGAAATACTCTCTCAGCAACCAGTACGAGGTTCATATCGCCCCTCAAGGATCGGGGCCAGGGTTCCTAGGACCCCCATCTACATCTTTAAGGCACTATGCTCCTGTAGGGTCTACACTACAATCGGTATCGAGCGATGACGAACATGCTGGTTCCGTGCAGAGGAACAGAAGAAACGCTACTCGGCGGAGAAATACTGCCTACGGTACTCTAGAAACAATTGTGAGTTCGAGCAGGTCCTCGGATGAAGACAAGAGCAATAAAAAGCCGGCCGCCCAGATTATAGAGGAAGTAAGCCGTACTACTACATGTACCAACGACGAGAGCACCAGTGCGGCCAGTACAGAAGCTCAGGCTAGTAGTGAACAACAGGACGACCAACAGGGATCTCTCTCGTCGAAGCCAGCTCTATTCGCAACGGCCATTATCGAAAGGTCTCGGAGCCAAATACAGAACACTACTGCTTCCCCAGGGGCACCGGGTGTGATCTTGCTGAGTAGTCCTGCAGAACCACGGACATCAAAGAATCACCTTGAAACCAAGACATCGCCTATAGGACCTACTGGAAGATGCTATACACGCGAACCTCTAACGAGGATTCCTCAGGCAGTCGCATCTAAATCCGTAGCTGCAGCAGGCATTACTACACCAGAAGAGCCAAGAGGTTCATCAGGCCTCTTGTCCGGGTTCAGCACTTGGATGTCCTGGAAGGGAGCAAAGCCTTTTTCTGAGGTAGCTGGGGCAGATCCCGAGGTGTCCAGGGGCTATTCTTCTTACGCTGAAGGTACACTAAGGGAACTGCTCAGGTCAACAGAGCAAGTTAGGGACACAAACAAAAAGGATATCAATATAACCACATGAAATTGTTTCAGGTTTACGGCCCACAACACTCCCTAGGTGCTGCTTTCATTAGATTATTATAGCAGCAGGGCGTTTGGTTAGTTCTCCTGGCGAATGGAAGAAGAAACAAGGAGCGTACGATATTTTACCAGTCAGAGGCACCGCACCGTGCGCGTTCAATACTTTCTCATGTTACATTTCAGAATAGGAGCTCTCACCTATTTTATTATTAGGGAATAGTAAATCAGCCAGTTAGGAGGAGATAACGATACCCAAATATGTCATTGGACATATGTATACAAAAGCAATTACAGCTGTTAAACTTGATACCCAAACTGCTTTTGGGCCACTTCATGCCATGCGATAGCGGTACTTATACTTCGATTTGCTGATATCTATTGTAGAATACAAGTCGGGCTGGTTCCCTGAGTGTTACTTTGCGATTAAAGTTATACTAAAGGGCAATATTGGACCTCCTTTGGCATGTTGTTCCAAATACCATAATATTCACAACAGGTATATGAAATATAAATAAACCAATCCTTTTATACCAATGGGTTCTATTGCTCCGAATCTGACAACATGCTGTTTCTTTTCGGGGGTATATAAAGAACAATGACACTTGCAATTTCTAGGTTAACATTAAATGGATTAATATATGTTTAATAAAAGTGATTATAAGTGAAAACTTAAAGTTTTATTTAAAAAGAATTAATAAAAATGAATTAAAAACAACGATATTAACGTTAATAAATAAAATAATAATAATAATAATA